CTTTCCAGGATGTCGTCCGAACATATTGAGGCAGCCAAATTTTACCGTTGTGAGTCTTGTGAGCATCACAAACCGTGACCGCAGACACACAAGGTAGCGCTCCCCAAGAAGTTCTATTTCAATTCCGAGATCGGGATCGATGTTCTGGAGGTGAAGGGCAACAACGGCGAAAGGTACAGCTTCCTGAATATCGTCTGCCAGGGAACTACGTTCCAGCGGGTCATATTCGTTCGACTAGGTGGTGGAATGCCGTCTTCGCGGGCATGCCTCACAGTTCTCCAGCAGCACTGGTGTGCTTGGGCAGGAAAGCCTAAAAGGATCGTGTTGGATCGAGGGTTACATGACAGAGGTGTCTTCTTACAGTGGGTTAAGAGTCAAGGGATCGATCTTCGCGACGCAGGAGTCGAATCCCCGGAGCAGATCGGACGCACCGAAAGACACGGCGGACCATGGAAAAAAAACGTGTTTAAGAATGTGGTTCACGACAAGAACGTTACTGGCCTCGACGAAGTTATGACGACAGCCGTAGAGGCCGACAGCACCAAGAACGAGATGTCCCGAGTTGGCGGTTTTTCGCCGTCTCAGTGGGTACTCGGTCGGCTGCCCCGTGTGCCGGAGAGTCAGTTCGGCGACGAAGAAGCTTACGATTGGAGGGTGAAAGAGGGGGTCTGCAACAGGGGGTCTTCAATGGGGGCTGAATGGCCCATGTATGCTCAATGTATCGCTCATGTATGTGATCGGGTACGATTGGCATCCAATGCTGGCGGTCATTGATGGCCAGTCATTCGTGACCGCGCGTTGCCCGCGCGGGCGCACGCGCCGTCCATCCGTTATCGTTCATGCGTGCGGGCGTTCTTGCATATTGCGCGTGGGTCGGCGAAGTGGAGTGCAAGTGTGTCTTGATTGTGCGGTTGATGATCGCGTATGTTCCCAAACGATGACTTCTCGACCCCCAAGACAGATTTGGAATGGGCCCCGCGATTCTCCCAAAATGTGAATTCACATTTTCCTTTTTTCCAAAATGTGAATTCACATTTTCCTTTTTCCCAAAATGTGAATTCACATTCTGGCCCCTTCATAAAGAATCCTACACAAAATTCCCAAATGTGGATTCACATGTTCCTTTTTCCCAAACTGTGAATTCACATTTTCCTTTTTCCCAAGATGTGAATTCACATTTTGCTTTTCCCCACAATGTGAATTCACATTTTGCCCTGGCCTTCAAGATCCCCAATGCTGTGGCGCAGTGTTCCGCATGCCAGATTGGCTGGGCAGATTTCGACACTCACCTGACCGCTTTTGTGTGTTCCAGCCTGTTCTTGTTGCGCCCTTAGCGCACGTTGCCTTCGTCGCCTTTCCCGAGCCCCCCGCCCCCTTGCTTCCTTTCCCCTCGAGTCTCGCGCGCGGGCGCAGGCGGGGGGCTTCACTTAGTTCCCCCGCCGAACACAGCAATCGAGGATGCATCGCCCATTCACGATTTTAAAAAACACCATTGCCGGGGCCCTGCGTCCGACCCCCACTTTCACCCTCCAATACGACCTGGGTGCATTGGCTAACGTGGCTGAAGATGGGTCTGATGAGTTCTCACGTCAATCTGCAATCCGTGCCACTGCCAGGAAAGCATTCGCCGAGCACGACGTTGGTAGCAGGACCGCGCGTGCTATGCTTCGTAAAGCAGCCCCTCTGGCGGGCGAGCACCAGGTCGGAGATGTGGTGTGCTTTCGCAAAAGGCCCACCGACGGAGAAGTTACTGCAAAATGGAGCACTGGATCGAGGATCGTAGGGTTCGACGGCAAGAACGCATGGGTCATCACCGAGGGGGTTCCGGTGTGTGTTGCGGTTGACAGGCTCAGACCGTGCACAGCGGCTGAAGCTCTGGCATATCAATATCTCTCCCGGCACCAGGATGGAGGTATGGAACGATACGCTCCTCCTGAAGGTCAGCAGCAGTCGTTTGTCGACGAACGCAGAGAGTTACCTGGTGCAGGCCAGCCTGGAGCACCTCAAGAGGACGTACTCCCAGTCATCCATGAGGAGCCGGAATTAGAGATGCCAGAGCCGATGGAAGAGTCTCAACCTGTAGCACCAGGTGGGAACATGAGTGACGGAGGCGAGGGAGAAGCTGAAGATTCCCCTGCCGAACAACCTGAGCCTAGACCGCCGCGCACCCCGTTGCAGAGATCTTTGCTAGATGATTTGCCGCGCGACCTACGTGGTCGCGGCGAAGTGATGCGAAGGAGATTGGACACAGGAGGATCTTCCTCAGAAAGGAGATCCGCCTCAGTGTCAGAACCAGCACCCGAGCCAGCGAACCCGCTGCTCGAGGCATGGCAGAGAACGGGGACTACAGGATCAGGCGTAGATCTACTCCAGAGGAGGACTGCGTCCGCGGCAGTCAAATCACACGAGTCACATGTTGGTTTCTTCAATGAGCGAGCCATCAGTAAGCTTCAATCTCGAAAGAAGCTGAAGAGCGCCAAGAACTTTTCATTCCATAAGGAATCGGAGGAAGTTAAGAGCGGACTGCGTCTCGCAAGACAAGACGAGTGGGGAAAATGGCGAAGGCTCAATGCTGCCGTAACCATTGATTCCTCAGAACTGCAGGAGCTCCTCGACGAGGGATATCGCATGGTTCCCACGCAATGGATTGAGGTAGATACAAACGAACATTTACGCAGACCGGGTGGACCACCGGTTGCGCCACAATACGAAAGCAGACTTGTGGTGCGAGGAGACCTCGAGGAATCTCTCGGCATCCGCACGGGCTCACCAACATGTGAGCTAGAAGGCTTAAGGCTGATAATATCGTGGGCCGCAGGCACGAAGAAGGCATTGAAATGCGCTGATATCACTTCAGCTTATTTTCAGGGTCAAGAACTCGACCGCCTCATGTTATTTAAACCACCTCCCGACGGGCTCGAAGGAGTACCGGATGGTGGGGCGCTTATAGCTCGTATGCCTGATTATGGAACGCGTGACGCTGGGAGAGGTTTATGGAAGAAGATCCGACAACGTTTTAAAGTTCACGGATTAAGAGAGAACCGTATCATGCCAGCCCTTTTCAGTTCATCTACTGATAAGAACGAGATTACGTGTATGATAGGCACACATGTGGGCGACAGACTATGGGCCGCAGACGACGAGAGCCAGAGGATTATTGACTCCGTGCTGGCAGAGTTCGACATCAGAGAGGTCAAGTCAGGAGATTTCCGCTACTGCGGGTTAGAAATTGCTCAAGATCAAGACTATACCGCCCACGTCATGGCCAAGGACAACATCGAAAATATAGAAGCTGTATCCTATCCCAGGGACAGCCCCCTCACCAGGCGCTGTAACGAAGGAGAGACATCCCAACTTAGGTCAGTTGTAGGTGCCTTGTCTTGGGTTTGTCGGCAATGCAAGCCCGAGCTCCTCTACCGCGTGAGTCGACTGCAAACGGCAGTGACCCATGCGAAGGTATTGCACCTTAAGGAGGCCAACCGCGTCTTGGAAGAAGCAGTACAGACGTCGGACAGCGGACTTGTGTTTAAAGGTGGTGCCGTGCTGTGGGGCAAGGACATGATCGTTCTTACCGTTACGGATGCCAGCTGGGCTGGAGAAGACGATGTTGTAAGAGGCAACTTGGAGCCGCTAAGATCCCAGAGGGCCAGGTTCAACGGACTTGCAGGGCCGGGATTTGTCGAGGGGAACAGTGATTACGTTCACCCTATATGTTTATCGAGCAAGGTTATTAGGCGTGTGTGCAAATCTACTTTACAAGCAGAGACGTTGGCTTGTCTCTGGGGTGTGGAATCAGGTGTGCGCATACGTGCTGCCATCGCTGATGCGCGAGGCATGCTTGGGGTAGCTAATAAACTCCCTTCAGACTGGGAAGAGATTTCAGCCATTACGATGAGACATCTTTGGATGACAGATTGTAAGAGTTTGGAAGAGCACCTAACAGCGCCTACTATGGAAAAGACGGAGGGTAAGCGCTTGAGTATTGACCTGAGCAGTCTCCGTCAGGACATTTGGACACGAGGTGATGAAGAGGTAGAAATCCTGCACCCGAAGTTGTTCTGCGATAAGATCCGTTGGATCGATACGAGTGTCATGGCCGTAGATTGCCTCACTAAAGCTATGCCAAATGATTTCCTTGTTAACATATTGACCACTGGTACTTACGATATTACCCCGGACCCGGAGTCAACGATCAAGAAAGCGAAGAAACAATTTGCTAGAGCCAGAGTGAACACTATCCCGACGGGGAAGTGATGTTACTGTCGCCACCCTGGCCGCCTTACGCTGCGTCTCGTTTGGAGACGCCCTTTTACTAGCCCCTAAGAGTGGCTGCCAACCGGCTAGCTCGTGACACAGTTTCACGGGCGTGATATATATATATATATATATATAGTGTATGTATGACACGATCGTACGCCACTCGCCGCCGTTTGGCTCTTAGGGGCCCCTTGTGCCTTGGCGTGAAAACGTATCATCATTCACAATGATGATGAAGATGATGATGATGATGATGATGATGATGATGATGGTGATGGTGATGGTGATGGTGGTGGTGTTGATGATGATGAGTGTGATGATGGTGGTGATGATGATGATGAGGAGGAGGAGGATGAGGGTTGGATGATGGTTTGGGGATATGGAAAATGGCTACGTATGGGGCGATGCAAATGATAGTGTCGTTGGCTCTAGCTCCAAGGGGGCCTCGTCGGCAAGCTGTAAGGCGGCTCGGACCGTTTGCCAGGACGGTGTCTGGGGGGGAAGGGCAGCAGGAACCAGTTTGGGTGCCACCGAACTGTTGTTTTGGGAGTCTTTGGGTCTTTGGGCTCGCTTGCAAGGTATTTGGGCAATCTTTCAGGGTTTGCTGGCCGTCCTCCACAGTGTTGGTTGGAGTGTCTTCGAGACGCTGGGGCTGTTCTCGGTCCTCCCCAGTTCCTTTCCTCTTCTTTTTCCTTCCCCCTGTTCTCCCCCCACCTCCCCTTCTTTCCTAATCACGCCTCGAGGCACCTCGAGGTCGCTGAGGTCGCTGTCCTACTACAACAGCAGCAGCACCACGTCGTCCCTGGACGGCCACGGTGTCAATTCCAAGACAGGTGTGCCGTTCCGCCAGTCGCCAGGGCTGGCTTGCCCCCTCTGGTCATCCCGCCTGGAGGAGGGAGGGAGGGAGGGACGGCGGACGAACGGAGTTAGGGGTGGGGGAGGCAGCCCAGAAAGACGGTGGGGGGCATCCTGGAACAACTGACGGGACAGTTCACGGAATAACCACTGGACAACCCATTGGACAACGACAAAGAAATTTACGATTTATTCCACGGGACAACCACGGGAATACCGTGGGAAAACCACGGGACAATTCACGGAATAACCCAGACCAGCCATGCGACAACCCACGGGAAACCCGTCGGGACAACCAACGGATAACCCACGGGAGAATATTTGTGACAACCCACGCGACAATCCCGCGCCGTATTTCGACACTGGAGGGCGAAATAGTTTGCCCGATTTGGCCTTCGGCTCGGACGACTCATCGTCGTCCCCCTTGCGCAGTTTCGCCTCGCGCGCACGCGCGACACGAAACGAAACCGAAACCGTTGCGAAACGCGGTCTCGAAAATTCGATGCGCACGCGGTGTCTCTCTTTTTTTTGTCCTGCGATGCGGGTCGTATTTCAGTCCCTTAATATGTGGGCTGCGGTCCGAAGGGTGTAACGAAGTGTACCTCGTAATGGTGTCCCTTACTATCTGTACCACGAACTCGAGCGCAGCGTTTGATAACTACGGGACACTGTTTGGGCATAACCTTCCGCGGCGTCTCAGGGAGTATTGTGACAGGCTGCATCGTCGAGTACCTGTGTGTAGACCCCCTTCCCGTCCTTGTCCCCTTGCTCGTGCTCCTGGTCCCAAGGGGGTTCTGCGCTGTACCCAGCAGAAAGTAGCTGCACTGATTCGGACAGCCCTGGCGATTCTGAAAGGTGCCGCACTGAGCTGGGCTGCTCTGGCGACCCCGAACGAGGGAGGATGGAGGAGGGAAGGGATGAGGGAGGATGGTTGGGGGCTGGATGAGGGAAGGATGGGGGAGGGAGGGACAGGAGGAGGGATGGATGGATGGAGGATGTATTGATGGAGGGTGGGATGGGTGATGGAGGGTTGGGAGGGAGGGAGGGAAGAGGGAGGGTGAGGAAGGGAGGGAGGGGGGATGAGGTCGCATGAGGGAGGATGGAGGAGGGAGGAGGCTCTTGAGTTTGGAGGTCAGTGGCCCACCTTGGCTTGTATCTTCCCTGTGCTGCCCCGCTCGCGCTTGTCGGAACTGAAATGCATGCAGGGACAATGGAATTTTCTGAGCTCTGGCCGTTGCGGACCTCGGTGCATCTGGTGTAATCTACGCGGGGCAAGGTGTGTGGCGTAAGCTACGGAATGTAAGCTACTTGGTGCAAGCTACGTGGGGCAAGCTATGTGGTGCAAGCTGTGTGGTGAAAACTATGTGTTGCGAGCTACTTGGTGCAAGTTCTGTGATGCAATCCATGCAATCGACGTGGTGCAAGCGACGTGGTTCGAGCCAAGCAACAAAGCATAGAACGTAAACAAGAGCATTTCGCTGCAAGCCCTGGGCGACGAGTACCTGGGTACAAACAGCTAGATGTCGTTGTTTGTCTCCTTGGGAGATCGGAGATTCAGGCGGCAACGAGGTGGCACAAAGGCGATACTGGCGACGACGTGGCAAATCCTCGGTGGACCCGTCCAGCGCGCGAGGCGGCAACGGGGCGGCAACGAGGCGCTGCGGGCGGCAAGGCGCCGAAAACTCGGCGGACCCACCCAGCGCACGAGGCCGCAATGAGGCGGCGACAAGGCGGCACGGGCGGCGACGTGGCGAATCCTCGGCGGACCCATCCAAATCCTTAGAGCGCAATGCACGTACGTGCCTGAGCTGGAGGCGCCCCGACAGGGTTTGGTGTGGCTGGCTATGTGATTCAGCGGTCAGGTCAGTGGTATTGGTCAGTCGCTAGCTGCTCACGGCCACGCCACGCCGGACTTTCCAGAAGAATGCGTGCACTGAGGCTCGTTGTTATCATGTCGACATGAGCAATGGCAAGGTGAAGTCGACTCCCCCGACTCCATCGCCGTCGGCGCCAACTCACGCGGCCTGGACATGGAGGCCATCCCCACCGCATTCCGGCTTGCTGTTTCGCCACATGGCCGTTTGATTTGGCGCATGCGGAGGGGAAGGTGAAGACAGGGAGCCGTGGGATGCGGCGGCGTCACCATACCTTCCAGGCCGCGTTTTGTCTGTGATGCTTGTTTTTTGCGCCCCCTCCTTTTCTTCCCCCCTCCCTCTCCCCCTCTTCATCGTGGCCCTCCGCTCCCTTGCTCGTCCTGCCCCCCCCCCCATCCTCTCCCCATCCCTTTCTCGCACGGCTCCGAAATGGCCTCGGGAGGGCCCCGAGAGGCGTCTCAGAGGGCCCGGAGAGGGCCCAAGATGGCTTCAACAGGGCCCCAAACATCGCCCCATCGTCACCCCAGTATCACCCCAGTAAATCCCGAAGAGAGCCCCGAAGGGCTCTTCCAAACCCTCTCTCCGAGGACTGGCTAGAGAAAGCTTTTTCTTGCACGCCCCAGAGCGGATCCAGGATGGCCCCAGGGACTCTAAGAGTGCGCAAGAGGACCCTGAGAGGGCCTGGGCCCTTACGAAGAGAGCACTCAAGAGCCCTCCAGCCTTTCAAATACGTAGCCTGACCCAAAAAATATGTATCCGTGGCCGGTCTTTCCCTCTGTCTGTCTGTCTGCCTGCCTAACTTTTTGCCTGCTCATTTTTTGTGTGCTCTCTCTCTCTTTCTTTCTCGCTCTCTCTCTCTCTCTTTCTCTCTGTATATCTATCCTGCCTTCTTTTTCCCATTCCATTCTCCGCAGTTGGCCGATAGCGGCCACCGCTTCAGACGGTCAGTCACTGCGGGTCCACAGGCGGCCGCACGGTGGAACCGATCCCCCACACTTACCAGGGCTTACACACTCAGAGGATCGAAGGAGTGAACTTCCGTTTGTTGCCTGCGAGTCTTGCCTCTATGGCACGAAACCGGATTCGTACCCGATTGCCAGTGCGAGCATGGCTTAGTCCCTGACCTCAAGCTTCCACCGACAGGAGGCCCGCGAGCTCCTGAAAGAAGGAAGGCCCTGTGGGGTGGTGGTGGGGGTGGGGCGGCGATGAGATGGCACCAAACGCGGCACCATAGTCACATCCGCTACTAGAACCTCGCTCCCTCTCCCCCCTCCTCCCTCGCCCCCACGAGGGAGGATGGGGAGGGGGAGGAGGATTATGAGTATTGCATTCCGATCTCGTCGCCGTTGCAAGAGGAGGAGGGAGGAGGGCGCAACAGTGCGGACGGCAGTTCGTCCAGACCTAGCGGCGCTTGATTGCCGCTCAGACCTACCTTGCAATGGCTGGAAGTGCTGCACATCAAGCAGGAGTGAGGGAACACCCTCCCTCCTGGCGCGGTCTGTAGGGGACCCTGACTGGAGAAAATAACGTGTCTGTGGCCATCAGGGCGTGGCACGCCCCCTTTCCGTAGCCACATTGGCTCAAGCCATTTTAGCCATTCTGGGCTCAAGTAAAACATCTGTCGAGGTTGGTCCAGGTTGACGCATTTGCCGTCCCCGTGCAATGGCCCTTCCCAGCGTGTTGAATTTCCTAATTGAGGCCACAAAGTGTTGTACTCGTTGTGTAAGGCACTTCCTCTTGTAACCACTGTACATTATGTTCTGTGTCTCCGTGCTGTCATGGCCCGAACAGGTCTCCGATCGAAGTGCAGCGAAGAACGTGATGAAGGTACTACGCGTGGTGGTTGTCCCTCTCGCCGCCACCCATCGTCATCCTGTTCTCCCTGTCGCTTTCAGTCGAGATCCCCTGGTCGTCATGTTGCTCGCTCCTCGTCGGTTACAGGTTACGCAAATGGCAGCAGCCCGGCTGAGGATAAGATGGACAACCTCATCGGCAAGGAGTCTGTCTCCCAGCTCGTAGCCAACCAGTCGGTGGATATGACTGCAATCAAGATGCATGCAAATAGTCCATTGTCAGCTGTGTTCAATTTGCTGGCCAGGTGACCGGCTTCAGCCATGAATACCATTCTCGGCATAAAGAAGTTCAACAGTCAGTAGTTGTTTCAGTGAACGCCATGGACAACAGGACGGAGGAGATAAGACGCGATCTCATGAACCAACATACCATGGGTGGGGGGGAGGTGCTACTATGTGCGCTTCCAGCCCATGAATCCAGGTAATGTCAATGTGATCGAGGACGCGTTGAAGAATCTGCTCGCACGTCAACAAGCCGCGGAAAAAAGCATATTGCTGACAGCCTCTCGACCTCGACTCCCCCTGCCTCGCCCAAAGTGAACCGCGCCTCCAGCCACAACCAAAATGCCCAGGACCAGATTCAAGCTGGTGCTGCTTGGCTTACCGCGTCGCATGCTGGCCAATGAGTTGTGCTCAATCGGGAACGCATGTGTCGCCGTTTCTTCTCCCTCTGCCGAAGCCGCTTTCGACATGAGAACAAAAGTCACGTTTCACTTCGAGTCCGCCTTCGGAGCGTCGTCGTTCCTGGACAACTTCAACCGCGCCAGCGGCCTTCTGCCCTGCCCTGACCCGTTCCATCCCCAAGTTCAGCTAAACGCTGAGACTCCGCTGCAACCTGGATTTCCAGGGCCGCCAACTTGTCCTTCTGCTTGACGTGTGCGCATCCTCCTCATCGGTGTGCTGAAGCAGTGCGAGTTTGAGGTCGGGAGCTCAGGGCTTGGTGTGTACGTGTGTGTGTGTGTGTGTGTGTTTGTGTGTTTATTTGTTTGTTTGTGTGTGTGTGTGTCCGTAGCCATTTTGGCTCAAGGCTGTGGGCTCGAGGGCCCGCCAGCTGTTTTGGCGGCCGCGCCGGCGGCCCATGCAGTGGGCGCCACATGGGCAAACGGTGCTTGGCCTGCCCAGCCTCTCCCCGGGGTGGGGGTGGCAGCTCAGCGCCGTCCCGCTCGGGCCGTCCTCCTTGGCAGCGGCCCCGGTCCTGTGGTGCGGGGGCGCCGCCGCAGCCGCTGCCGCGCGCGGGGTTGCCGCGGCGCCGGCCCCCGAAACCGCTCCGGACGCAGGCGCGCGGGCGGCTGCCGGATGCTGCTGCGCAGGAGGGGGGGGCGCGGGCGGCCCCCGAGGGCCGAGGCCTTTCCGGCGGCCCGGCTGGAGCCCCCTACGACGACAAGGCCATCGACGACGATGACAAGGGCTGTTGCTACGGCGGCAAGGGCTACTACGACGGTGGCACGGGCTACAACGGTGGCAAGGGCAGCGCCGACGGTGGCCAGGGCTACGACGGTGGCAAGGGCAGCACCGACAGTGGCAATGGCTACGGCGGTGGCAAGGACAACTACGACGGTGATACGGGCTACGACGGTGGCAAGGGCGACGACGATGGCGGCGACCTTAAGGGTCCCAGCGGCTCCTCGGGCTACGACGGCGAAGCTGCCAACGACACGGGCCACGGCGGATGCATGGGCATCGGCAGCAGCACGAGGGCGGATGGTCACACGATCATCGCGGGGGACGCCGATGTGCCGAACAGCGGCATGCCTGACGGCGGCGTATCTTGAGCTGAATTATGTTTCTACGTCCCCGCCGCCAGCGGTGTCGGAATCGGAATGGGCGTGCGAGGCCAAACCATAATAAAGATGGGAGGGAGGGGGAAGGGGAGGCATGGGGAGGTGAAGAGGGAGTGGAGCTACATGCATGCTGCTGCTGCTGCCCTAAGCGTCCTCGAGATGCGATCCATCACCTGGCGGCGAACCATCGCCTGGTGGCGGACCATCGCCTGGTGGCGAACCATCGCCTGGTGCGGCTGGCGAGCCGTCGCCTTCCTCCACCATCCCATCCTCCACCATCTCCTCGTCCTGCAGCTCGGTTGCGGTCTGTCTCGCTAGGCGCTCACGAAGGGTCTGGGCCGCGTTGTTGATGTATGTAGGCGTCCAATCGTCCGCCCGTTCCTGCATCCGCCTACCGTTGGCCAGAAATACAGTTTTGTGGCAGTTGTCGCATTTCACACATTCCACCCCTGCCGCTGGCGCCGACCGCACACGTTGCGCTTCCTCTTGGATGCGTGACACCGCTGCTGCGATAGATGCAACTCGTATATACTCAAGCGCCTGTGGCGTACATTCGGCCCATACCTTTTTAGTAGCATTCATTTAGAAAAGCAGCTCCAAGGTCACTGCATCGCCATGCAAACTCTCGTCACCATGATCGCACTGGGCCACGGGCGTGTGCACCGATACAGTTTCTGGTAGGCCACCAACCCTTGGGGGCGCACGTCTAGAATGCCCGCGAAGATTGCACAAGATAGCACGCGATGCATCAACATATCTCCAAAGATGTCCCACGAAGCCCTAAGTCCGCCTCAAAACGGCTCCCCAATGGCGCCCCCCGGGACGCCACAATGTTTCAAACCGTAGGGGAGATGAATGTGTTGATGTTCTCGCCGTTTCGCTTCCGATGCTCACCCGGAGTCTCGAGGCCCCGCGATGACCCAACAGGTCGCCACGAGGAGCCCAATATTTATACATATAAATGTATTTTTTAGCCACAAGACAGAACGCCGAAAGGCGCCCCAAGAGTGGCCCAAGAGCGGCACATGGGGGGAGGTGAATTAAGGTGCCCCTCCTCGTCCTCCTCCTCCTCCGCTGTCCTTCTCCTGCCCCTCCTCCTCCTCCTCCTTTTTATCATCCTCGTCCTCCTTTTCCTCGTCCTCCGTTGTCCTCCTCATCGTCCTTCAATTTCTCCCCCCCCGCCCCCTGTCTCCGCACCGCCCCCCCCCCCCCCCCCTCCTCCTCCTCATCCGATTTCTCTTCCTCTTCCTCGTCATTCCCCCCTCTCTGGTGGGAATGCGCGAAGCGTCTACAATCGCGACACATCCAGAGTACCTCTATTGTTCCTAATGACACTGGCTCTGTCACAATCTTGCCGAAGCAAGGGGTCGTTCTGCAGCAAGTGATTCCACGTGGCCTCGTTGCAGGCGGCGCTGCGCATTCTCAAGATCTGATCGAAGAACGGGTTCGTCGCCAACGGCGCGTTGCTCTTGCTGGGGTTGGGGGCAGAGGTGAACTTCTGAAGCTGACGATCGGCCTTCGACAGCTC